CCTGGGCTCAGCCCAGGAGGGGCCTCTCACCCCAGACACCTGGGGGCAGGTGTCCAGCAAGCAGAGCTGGAGGGACCCAGGCTCGTGGGATCCAGAGGGTAGGGGAGACGCTGAGGTGCTGTGTGCTCACCTGCTACCCGGACACCCCCACCCATAATCCAATATGCATACTTATATCCCGACACACATGTGCCCCCAAACACAGCACATCCTATTTCACACACTAACCCAAACCCCAACACACCTGTACCACCAATCACCCCACACACACACATGCCACCCCACACCCCCCCACTGCACACACACACATACCACACCAGCCCATACACCCCAGAAATAAACATGACCACTCAGGTGACACACACACACGGCACACATACACACCACATTGACACCCAGTCTCTCTCTCGTGCACATGCTATCACACACTGGGACACCCACCGTATCTCACGCAACGCCACACGCTAACACACACCACACTGATACCACATCTTCCACACACTGAAACACACACCACATCTCATCCACCCAGAGACAGGGACAGCCCCTCAGCGCTGGGCCCCCTGGGAGCAGGGATGGGGAAGGCCTCCAACCACCATGACCTGCTGCCCCTCTGAAGACAGACCACAACAGGGGCCAGCCTGGTCTGCCCCCGGCCTCCTGCACGGGGTCCGGACCCTCCCTCAGGCCTCCCCCAGACCCTCCCTTGGGTTCTTCCTCAGTCCACTCTTGGCTGCAGGCCCCCAGCTCCATGGAGGGTGGCTTCCTGGAGGAGGTGGCACTGGGCTGGGGGATGTGGAGAAAGAGAACACTCCTCATCTATCCATACATGCGTCCCTGCGTCCATCCACGTACCTGCTCACCCACTGGCCACCCAGCCATCCATCTGTCATCATTCACCCGGCCTGCTGGCTGCCCCCAGACCAGCAGGCCCAAGACTCTCAGTGCTTACCACGAGGGGCAGGCCATCCCAGACATACAGCTCCTGGGGGGATTCTACTTCCAGACATGGACCTCAGGCCCCCACATGCTTGACCGTTGTCACCTGGCATAGACCAGCTGGGCTCTGCTGCCTTCTACCTCTATCCACCTGTCCCTGCCGCCAGGTGCCAGGTGAGTACATTTCCTGAACTTTGATCCTTGAAGCCCTAAAACTCTCTGGGCACTTCTCCAGCCTGCCTCCAGCTGGGCTTTCTCGGGAGCCCTTGGGCGAAGGGGGGTCTGCTCTGGTGGAAGGGGCGCCCAGTCAGAGCTGGAGCCTGGGCCCTGGCTCCACGACCCTCATCTGTGTGCCCAGCTCCACTTGCATCTGGGCGGGGTGTGTGTGGCAGGGGCTGCCACCGCCCACACTTAGATGGACCCGTGCCAGGCCTGCGAGTCGAGTCGAGCGGCCACAACTTTAAATTAATGAAGTAGGTGCAGTGGCTGGCTGGAGGTAACCCCATGAAACCCCCTTTCTAGGATACGTTATTACGCTGCGTGTGCTCATTCTAGTTCCACGGACCCCAGTGGCTCGCAAACGGTGCAGCTTGCTGGCAGGGCGGGTGAACCGGTTCATTTAAGGTAACAGATGATCCTTGATTTGATTTTAAATGCAACGACAGCCAGATTTTTCTCGTGTTTAATCACTTCCCAGCGCGCGCGGCTGCGGCAGCGGGATGGTCGCGGCTGCACATTGCGGCCCCGCCGCCCCAGGGAGCCCGAGGAATCGATTATGTTTATGGGGGCGCGTGCGCGGCGCGAAATGGGCGCGTCTGTCATTTCTACAGTGCTATTTCACGCCTGCTTCCTGCTTTCCATTTCTTAGCTGGAAGGATGCAGGCGCGCGCGTCTCTTTCATTACAGACGAACCATCCTGATTCCTTATTAAATATTTTTTATTAGCCTGGAGCTAATAAAAAGCGTTGGCGACAGTAAATCAGGCCTGGGGACCGGCGTCCCGCCGCTGGCAGGCCATCAAGCGTGTCGTTTACTCGGGGCAGCTCCCCGCCTCCCAAACAAGGCTTCCGGATTCATTACCGGCTCCCGGTGTCCCCAAGATGCCGCTCAGCAGAAGTGGGGCTGACAGGACGTTTGTTCTCTCAACCCCATCGGCATGGGCAACAGCCCGCCGGCCCCGTCGGTCAGTCGGTGCTGTTCTCC